CAGGCTTATACAAATGCACACCTGAAACACTTTCCAGTTACATAAATCTGGCTGTAAAAACCACAAACGTTGAAGATAACTGAGGACTAAACCATGCTAACTCACTTTCTTAGATATTAAGTTATTTCAAGCTGTCACAATCAAAGTAAGCAGCACTGGTAATATAAAACAGAATGATGATGTTTAGGTGTACTACAAAAAAAGAAGTTCAAGGGACAACCTTCGTGATCAATAAGCATATGCATCGCTACTACTGACATCCTGGCATGTTCTCTTATCTTTAATTCAATTTAGTAGTCACGTTCATTATACAATATTAATCTTAAATACTACTATGGCTTGTCCTCAGCCCCTTTCAAAGTTTCAGAAAGGATCTGCCTTTCCAGTTCAGCACTGCATGGCTCAGTATCTTGTAGGAGCAGTCAGACAGCCTCTATTCTTACCTTAATGAAGTTCCCCCTTAGAGAAGAATTTAACATCAAAAATTGCCTATGCAGCACAGAACAAATTGAAGGCTGCTAAAGCAAGTGTACTGCTTGCTCTATTTTAATTTGCTTACTAAGCCTACAGAATTAGGGCCTTACTCTCCAACTGAGCCTATACTAAAAATCCAGTGAAAACAGAGACGCAAGAATAAGTCACACCGAACTTCTTTTAACAAAGCTGTGCTTTATTAGAGCCTCTCTCCCAGCCAGAGAGGCAGCAGAGCCCCTTCAAGTGCCATTTTTATCTGCTCCTCCTCCTCACATCAGTATTTGCTTTCTACTTTCTCCAGTTGTTCGCATTTCCTTCATTTGATTTGTCTCGAAACATGTTAGTCACTGCTTGGTCTCTCTCCAGTCCATCCCTCCTTGGCCAGAAAGCCTCTCTTCAAGAACTGGCAGCCTGAATTACTAGTCCTCACTCTCCCGCACCCTCAGACACTTCTGCCCTCTGAGATTTTGAAGCAGCGGATGTTTTCCTGCGACTTCCCGGGGGTTCAGATCAAAACTACCACCGTGCTCCTCACCCCAGACATACTTGCCCTGCTAACCTCCCAAATGTGCTCCATTAGTTGCCGAGATAATCAGCAGGGGACAGGCTGCTACCAAATCCTGTTTAGCAGCTGTGACTTCAACACTCCAGAGAAAAAACAGCTGGAAGAGAATATCCAGCTGTCTCAGAATTACTTCCCTACATAAAACTTTAGGGATAGAGTTTTCCCTTCATAATATGTCCATGAAATAGCTCAAGAAAACCGTGTCCTGAGCCATAATTGATATCTGAATATATAACAATACCGGACATGTAAGCAATCAAAGGAACAGCTTAGAAAAACTAACAAAGGGTACCAGTATTTTAAGAGTAGCTTTTTCACAGAAGTGGAAAAAAAAGCCTGTTTAATTTGCAGCCATCGCTAAAGCCAAGGACAGCACCTGAGGACACTCTGCTGATAGCTCACATACTTCTGGTTTTAGTAAAAAGTATTTCGAATGCCGATTGTGATTTTTTTTTTCCTCATCCACATGGTGCAAATGGCTAACATCATACCTAAATTATCACTTATTTTTCCTACTTTAAGGCAATATCAGTTAGCAGACACATGTAGTTGGTCTATGCCAAATTTTTAAAAGTTTGTAAGCATCATCTACACTTATCAGTGGTTGGGGTCATGGTCATCTACCCTATAATCAAAATGGCATCGATCTATTTACCAGTTAGCGTACACAACATATTTGAGGACTGCAGGGTTATCAGTGTGACAACACATCCTTCAAAGAGATCCTATAATGCCTTCCTGGACTGGACCCTCTATCAACACAAACAATGCTGTCTTTAATTTACCTCCAGATAAAAACCAGACACCGTCTGTGTCTGGATGATACCCCTAGTAAAACTGGCAGACATCTGTCTGCAGAATTTATTAGACCATCATCAATTTACCGTGTATGAGGAATAAGAGAGTATCTCCCCAGCACATCATCACTCAAACAAGCAAGCAGCTACCTCACCTTGGTTCATACGCTATCGCCAGCTCCCAGGGCCAGGTGGGATTTAGGGTACTGTGCCAGAAAAAAAAAAAAAAAATCACCCTTAGCTAAGCTTTCCGGACAACCCACCACATGTGTAAGCTGCTGTGGAGGACGCTGAACGGACCAGTTGCCCGCTGCTCTCCTATTGACTCAGAAGCTACAGACTTATTTGAGGCCAAAAAGGATCCACGTGTGCTATGGAAAGAGCATAGCTATCACTGAGGTTTCTAATGTACGTGACCACAGTCCCTTGTTCTTTCAACTCGGAGGGTTTATACAGCAGAATAAAACCACCAGTACTAACACTGTTAAGAGGTACAACTGAACCAGCACTAACCTCAGCACAGCTGCTGAAGCAAACAAGGACAGAACATGCTGGGCCTTTTCTTATCTCCTCCTCTTTCCTTACCGATGGCCAGCATTTCTTCTCTTTTATGTAGAACAGATTATTTTTTTAATTCACCGTTGCCAGGAGATTGACCTGATTGAGCCCTTCAGCCATCCTGCAACTGTCACCTGTTTGTTTGATAACTCCAGCTTAAACAAATATCAGTAACAACTTCTACTTACAACTACTCTTACGGGCTCCCACCAACTTTGTTTCAAAGCTAATACAACAGCTTGAAGTTCAGCATACACCAGGCAATTACACTTCCATACAACCAAGTGGTAAAAGGCACCAACACTGATCCAGATGCAACAGCATCGTTGCTGTATGCACGCCTTCAGCAGGTAGCTCTTCACTCCCTACCAAACTCCTTCCTGCAGATCTATACGTGACCTAAAGACACTATCAACATCAGAAGCCCATCTTTACTCAGGCTCTCAGCATTGTAGGTGCTGACAATTATGATCTATCATAAGAGTTGGAGCAAGTTCTAGAAACTTTTGTAATTGAGTGGTCTACATTTACCTTAAAGAATAGCTTAAAAGAGAATATCCTCAGTAAGACTTTTCCACGCTAGCTACTAGATTTTCCTCTCACTTTCAGTGCAGTTATACTGAAGTGATATACTGTCAGTTCCCATTTCAGTCCAGAAACCATTCTAACCAGACTGACAACCATTTCCATAACTCTTTTGGGAGAGCTGCGTGATACAACTTCCACGCACAATCAGATCACGACCTAGCACTCACACTTGTCAGAGGGATGCTGGCAGTGACCTGCTTTTAATATTTGTCAGTCTGGGACTCAGCTCGTTCAATACTTCGTCTGTGCTCGTTTTTAATTGCTATGGCTACCATTAGCAATGTCAACACTAGTTTTCTATAGCTTACATTCTTTTCTTCTCCTGCAGACTTAGGTAAGGTTTTAGTCATAAAAGTGAAAAACATGATTGCTCTAAGGGTACAGTAAAATTTCTTATAGCACCTCACACTATATCAGGCATTGTAGTTGAAGTGTGTTTATATTACGCTGCTATTTTCATTAACCTGTAGGCTAGTGAACATCTCAGATTATATATATTTAGTAATTTGGCTTTGTAGCTTAGCGTGGGTAAAGAGCTTATTCCTCCTGCCTGGTATCTTTCACCCTCAGAACTGGAGTCAACTGAGGCCAGGTTGGATGAGGCTTTGAGCAACCTGGTCTGGTGGAAGGCGTCCCTGCCTGGATACTGGGTGAGCTTTAAGGTCCCTTCCAACCAAACCATTCTATCATTCTATGATTTCCAAACCGGAAGTCTAAAGCAAGCTCTTTGCAAGAGTTATCACATCTGAGTTTAAAGTGTATTAAAGCTCCCTGTCCTTAGAACAATGCAAAGATAAAAAATTGTGAATACAACGTTCCTACAGTCTAGTTGAGGCACTTCCCAGTGCACTGAGGCAGCAGCATTTGCAGTGAAACCTTGCTCCAGTAATATGGTTATACTGCAGAATCTACCTTAATTTGAAAAAGCCATACGTAATGCTCGAGTTGGGCAGTATCATTCAGGCAAATATACCAGTGTCAGTCTCAAGTCATTCTGAAACAAGGCCAGGAAATGTGAGTTTCCTTTGACTAGCCCGAATCCTAACAGCAACAGCTTGCACATCAACAGTAGTATATTCCCTACCGACCATTTTTAGCAGAAACATCCACCTAAACAACATATTCCTTGCCACTAGATCAAGCCACACAGCTCAAGTATTAAAACACTCAACTATTACCAGAGGGAGTAAAGCTGAGTTTAAGCCTGTGGTAACCGCAAAGCATCAGCACCTATGGATTTTTAAATAGATTGTATCTGCTACAGAAAAAATGAAGAGCAAGAAAGGGCTGTCCCCAATTTTACTATAAAATAGTCTAATTATCAGTTCACAAACTACCTCATTTACACAGAACTACCACAAAGTAAAAGCTTGGGATTTTCTCCCCACCAATGGCGAGCCAGCTAGTAGCAACCTACAGTAGCCTTCCTAGAACGGATCATATCGTACTACAAAAATGACTGTTTTTTTATTCACTACCTCATACTCAACTTCCAGTGACTCCAGATCTCCAGAGAAAAATATCTCTTTGTACTGCTTTTTAAAGCTTTTTAAAAGTTTATTGCCTCTGATCTATACCATTAAAGACTACCACAACACTGATGCTACTTTTAAGTCTTTCTTTCCTGTCACAAGCAGTTGTGTCTTTGCTCAAAAAACACCTTCCTATCAAGTCAAGTCTGATATTCTCCTCCTATGTATTTAGTGACACTTATGCGACAATTTTTTATCATCATGTTTTAGTTGACAACAGTTCCCAATGATGGATTCATTTTTGAGCAGAGTAAGGAAGCTTTTTACGTTTTGCATTATTCAATGAAAATAAGGATCCTACAGGCAAAGAGCTGTCGGAGATGTGATGTATGCCCATGTATACCCTGCAGTTTAAATCCTGAGGTAAGTCACAAGCAATTTCAAAAATACTTCCAGAAATCATTTTATATGCAATTTAGTATTGCTTACTGACAACACACCTTCAAACTGTAAATCCCCAAATATTTAAATGTAAGTTCCTTTCACCTTTTACAAGTAATTTATCTCGAACAGACACCCTCCGAGTTGAATCAGAAGCTGGATTGGATGCACGGGGTCCTCTGACACCATCATCCCGCTTCAACTTGCTTGCCAGAGTTAGCATTACTGCTGTCTTCAATCTAGAACACAAGTATTAGAACAAAGTCAACTACCCAAAGCACTAGGGGAGGAAAAAAAAAAGTACAAAACCAAGTTACAGTTAGGTCCTTATTCAACAACTATCATCATATTCTTAGCAGTCAAAGACTATGATGTATACAGTTAACACGACTGCGATTAAAGACGAGGATGGCCCAGACTACTTGAACAATGAGAGTTTCAGACGCGAATATTGAGAGAGTTACAGCACATTAGGCCAAGAGGAAGTTCAATTTTGCTGAAGAAAGGTCAGACTTTCATCATTGTTTAGAATCCAATTTCACTGCACCACCTCCTGCAGTATACCACTGCTTGACATCACTCCTTTGAAAGAACTGCTGTGAAAATACCCCTGCCAGATACCTGGCCAGGCAACCTGCTACGAACACTCTCATCCATACCTCACATGACAATATTCAGAGCTACTTTTTGGCTGGCCAGGAAAAAAAAAAAAAGGGGGGGGGGGGGAGAAAGGGGAGGGGTTACTAGAACAATTCTCTAACACTAGGAAGCAAGTTTTGAGTCAGTTACCAAGACACAGGAAAGGAAAGGGATTTAAACTGCATATAGCGCAATTATCTACGCAGCTGCACAACAGTAACTCTTCACAGTGCAAAGCAACACTGAGGAAGGTTACATATGGAGATGCGATAACTGAAGAGATTTTTTTGCTATGTCAGTCCTCCACTATAGAAGATAACTGCACTGATAAATAAATTACAATAAAAGGCGGACAGAATGCCAAAGTCAGAAAACCAAAACATTCAGTCTGTCATGGCTTAATACATTTGGACACTGCTCCTAGTTGAAAGCAACTCATTCTTAACAGTTCGGCCAAAACCAACAAAATGCTGACAAGATCCATACCCTTTAGGCCCCCCCACCACTAAAACGGTAAGAGAAATGTTTATCCTTTGGTCATATGAGTTAATTCAAGAAAATAAAAGGGGAAAAAAAAAAACCTCATAAAAAGTCAGCAGATACTCTGTATGTGAACTAGTTTCCACAGAAGACCAGATAGGTATGATGCAGCAGTTACCAAGACAAGAAACAGATGCTCAGGTAACATCAGTTCTCAGAGTATAAAATGGACAATCAGCTGAGACATTCATAAGGCAAATGATGAAGTCCAGTAAACCACTGAGATGAAGACAATCACACTATAAAACGACAAGATGCAATACAAAATTTATCTTTGTCAGCTTCAGCTCTACGTGTCTTGATGTTTCTTTCCTTCTTGTAAACAAGCCCCGGAGTGAAGATTCACAGGTCCATTGCAAAAGCAGTTACTTCGCTTCTTCACTGCATTTGTTCTTGTCCCAAAGAAAACAGGAGATAAAGCCTCTGGCCTGCCAATCTACTCACTACATCTGTAAAAGACAGCCCTATTGCTTTCCCAAGGTTATAAGAGAGCTGACAGATTTATGCCAAACATCAAGCCAACCCGAAACACCAGTGAAGTGGCAAGAAGGAGAAATGAAACAACCGACATGACATTTAGATGTTGAGAAGAACATAACTGGTAAGTGAGTAACAAGGTTTAAAAAAAAAAAAAAAAGGAAAACATACATTTCACAATAGTACCTAACAGTATGAAACTCTGGTAAGATTTCCAAGAAGGTCAAGTTCTCTGAAGCTGATAAGTATGTGTTAGTTTCAAGATGCATATTTTTTAAAAAAGCAAAATTCAGGGCAGATATAAAACCCACTTGCTCAACAGAAACATACAGTAGGTTTTTTTCTTCCCACTACTCCAGAGAAAGAAAGACCAAGCAGACAAAACAGTCCTTTTTTCCTTGGAGAAGAGAAAGACAACAGCTGGTTTTAAAAAAAAAAAAAATTTAAAAAAGGAGAGGGGGAGCAGGGGAGTCT